ACCGCGGACCCTGCCCCGACGGTCCCTGACCCCAGTGCCCGCTGCCGCAGCACCGTCACCCGCACAAGCGTCCGCAATCAGACGCGTCCCGACGGGGCGGAGAGAGGGGTGGCCCCGGGGAGGCGCGGATCCGAGGACGGCCGCCGCTCGGGAGCTGGTCCGGCGCCAACCGCGGCGCCCTTCCTCATCGCCGCCGTCTTTGTTCCCAAGGGCTGTGGGTTTCAGTGGTGCGGTCACGGGCCGCCGTGAGTGGGAACAAGCGGCAGGAATGGCAGATTTGGAGGGAGTAGCCAGAGGGCTCGCCTCGCATGCGCCGCCGCCGCCGCTGTCCACACGCGGTGGGCTCACACAACTAACGAGTGAAGCCGGCTCATCAAAACGGCTTCACCAGTCAAAGCCAAAGCCGGTGAAGTCAAAAAAAACTGACTTTCTTCGGCTTCTAGTTTATTTTAATCCTGGCTTATAAAATGACTTTATGTTAGTACCTCGATTTACGCAAAATAGATAAAGCCGGCGGGTCTTATGCGGGGTTGGGGACTTGGGTGGGAGGATGGAGATGGAGGAGGAGGTGACGAACTGCGGAGGCGTGCCCCACTCGGCGCGTCCGCTGCGAGCTCCCGCGTTGTGAGCGTGCTCCGCGAGGCCCAGCGCCGCTCATGGCCTAGTAGCAGTGAACCTAATCTCGGCCCAAATGTACCAGCTTCCTGGTTCGATGGGCCCATAGGATAGATGCAACAAAACATGTGCATTTTTTCTTAAAAAACATGTGCATTTGTTTCTACATATTTGAAAAAAAATGACACTTCACTTATTTCTAAAATAGTTTCTAAAGAAAACTCATGTCTGTAACAACACGACAGAATAGCCGTTTTGGTCCCTAAACTATTACTCGAGACTCACTTTCAGCCCTGAAGTTTCAAAATGACTATTTTAGTCCTCAAACTCTACTTTTGGGCTCACTTTCATCCTAGAACTATGAAGATGATCATTTCAGTAATCAAACTTTGCATTTTGGACTCAATTTCATCCATAAACTATCAAAGTGTATTTCGGTCTTTAAACTTTATCTTCAACTCAACTTTGTCTATAAATAAAACTTTATATTTTAGGCACAATTTCATTCATGAATTACAAAATGCATTTTGGCTCAACTATAATATTATAGGGTTATAGGTCCAGCACCACCCACGTTTTGAGATGGACGGTTATTGGCCCCGTTCGCTGGTCTGAAACTTGGCTGAAAAACACTGTTCCGGTTGGTTTGTTGTGAAAGAAAAACACTGTTCGGCTGGTTTGGTGAACAGTAACTTGAGAGGAGAAGCAGTCGGCTGGCTGGTCTGGTTCAGACCAGCGAACAGCCCCATTGTTAGGTACTATTGTCCCTAGTGTCGTCCCAGCTAGCGAATCGGATAGCAAACTTTCAACATTTATACTCATATTCTAAGATGCATATAGATATAAATATTCTTAAATATGAACTATTTTTAGCCTATGGATAAAAAATATTATTTTATACACTAATTATTTTTAGTTGAGCCTAACTCTAGAAGTAGCTAAGGAAAAAATTATAGATTTGCTATTATTTCAGTATATATCCATGTATTCTTAGGGAATAAATAGCGTTCCAAGCAACTATAATTGCTCTCACAAAAATCATTTAATCGGATATATATATATAAACGGTACTATTATAAGGTAACATAACAACTTGGGATTATTAATGGCCACTAAAGAGTTTTTTATGAATATTATATGTTCTATCTCCGATCGCTGGTGGTGTTGGAAATGAACAGGTACAACAGTGCATCGTTCTACGTAGGACGATAGACAAAGTTCAGTTGAAAAATAAAAGTTTAAAGTTTGAAATACATTTTGATAATTTATGGATTAAGTTGAGCCAAAAATGCAAAGTTTGAGGACTGAAACGATCATCTTCGTAGTTCTGGGATGAAATTGAGCCTAAAAGTAGAGTTTAAGGACTAATACGGCCTTTTTAAAAATTTAAAGATAAAAGTGAGCCTCGAGTAATAATAGTGGAGGAACAAATACCCCTATCGTGCCTAACAACACCCTCTAATAGCTGAGCATGCCATTCCGAGATGAGAGCAAGAGCTGATGCCATGGACCAGAGCTGCCAGCACCCAGCATGCAGCCGGGACGTCAATCTCTCTACAGTACTCCCTACTCCCTAGGCCATGATGGAACATCATCCCTCGCTGTTACAGTCACAGGCTGAGGCAGCGTTAACTTGGCCCTCCAATACAAATAGTACAGGATCTGGCCCCAAAGCATACTCCCTCTAATACAGTACAGGATTTACCATGCGCGCGGGGCTTGGAACAGTGACATTTTCAATTGGTGATACAATCGGAACAAAAAAAATGAGTGCAGACAAAAATTCTAGTGGCTGATAAACTGGCGCTGAGACGTAGACCTTGCAATCCAGTATGTTCGCTTTGTGATCAGGAAGCGGAGACAGTTGTCAATCTTTGCCTTCACTATCCCTTTGCAAAAAAGGTCTGGATGCACGTTAAAAGTTGGGTTGGAGAAGATATTTGCCATGTTCGTTTGAACTTATCAGCCATATCGTTTCAGTGAAATAATATTATTTTTCTCTCAAAATAAATTAGCATCAGTCGTTTTTCCAGCCAACCGAACAAAGCCATTGTGGACATCGACGGGTGCAGACTATGCAAGTTTGGTGCGAGATGTCTATGCAGGGGAGATCAATATCTCGGCAAAAAGAACCGCAGCCATCTTGATGTACTCGGCATGGAATATCCGGAAAGAACGCAATCAGAGAACTTTTGAGGGGTCAACGTGAACACTGGCCCAGGTGTTGGGGCTGATCAAGGAAGAGCTGGGAATTTTAAGTAGAGCAATAGGGAAACTAGATCGAGTCACTTTTATTTTCTTATTATAGCTTTTTGTGTTCGAGTGAACATGGGAGCGTAAGCCTTATATGCCCTAAACTGACTTTGCTTCCTTCTTACATGATATAGCAGTGCTCCTGCTAATCTTTCAAAAAAAATGCAAGCGAAGAATCAGCCAGTGTTTTAGGACTAAAATCCAAAGTCCATTGGCAAGGCATTAGTGGAGGAAACTTTGGCGAATTAGCGTGCACAGAGCAATTCTACTGATAAACTTAAATTAAACTAGGAGAGCAGGTACAAGTACAAGTGCAGCCACCAAAATCAAGAAACAAAGAAAGAAAAAGAACAAAAAAATAAGAGAAAAAGAAAATTTTGCACAAGAAACTGAAGCCATAACTCGAACAAAGGGCGATGAGCAAAATTCACCGCTGTTCTCTGAACTTCGCCGGGGGTATCATTTAGGTCCCTGAACTTCTAAAGTGATATCTGTGGGTCTCTAAACTTAGCAGACAGTGTTATTTAGGTCCCTAAACTTTTAAGGTAATCACCACAGGTCCCTAAACTTGGCTGACGGTGTTATCCCGGTCCCTGAACTTTCAAGGTATTCACCGTAGGTCCCTAAACTTGGTAAGCAATGCCATCTATATCCAAATGTAATAATATTAAAAGTTACATATAGTATTAAAAGTTTTCTGTATTAAAAGTAACTTCTAATTTTAGTATTATTTTAAAAGTCTTAATAGTATTATTATAGAAGTAACTTTTCTTTGTTATTAATACTATAACATTATTATTAAAACTTTTAATACTATAATACTATTATTAAAAGTTCTAATACTATAATACTACTATTAAAAGTAGTATAGTATTATAGTATTATAATATTATAGTATTAATAATAGAGAAAAGTTACTTCTATAATACTACTATTAAACTTTTAAAATAATACTAAAATTAGAAGTAACTTTTAATAGAGAAAACTTTTAATACTACAGGAATTTTAATACTATTAATGATACATAAATATTAAATTAATTTTAGTATTTTTATACTTTAGTTTAAACCTAATATATTTGTTGTTGTAAAATATTTTGATACTTTAATTTATTTTTTGCTGATGTAATTATTTTATATAATTTATATTTTCATGATAAATATTAGATAAATAATGATTGATTAATTGACACATGTTGATCCACACCAGCTTATAGAGTAGGTTATACCACATTTGGACAGAGATGATACCGCTTGTCAAGTTTAGGGACTTGCGGTGATCACCTTGAAAGTTCATGGACCTGGATGACACCGTCTGCCAAGTTTAAGGACCCACAAATATTTCTTTAGAAGTTTAGGGACCTGGATAACACCGCCGGCCAAGTTTAGGGACCGACGGTAAATTTTGCTCAAGGGAGATCGACTAAACTTCTTTTGACCCTACACGGACAATTCTTTGAAAGAAGGTGATTGGATGCAAGCAATTCTTTGAAAGGAGTTTCTTGGATTCAAGCAAGTTGGCAGGCTTCCTTCTGAAGATGAGTTTATTTCTAGCTGACCAAACTGTCCAGCAGATTAGAACTATCACATTCATGACGAAGCGAGAGCCTAGCCGATCTGTGGCTGTATCAACAGCCTGCTGTGCATCACAACCGTATTTAAGGCTTATCACCAGGAGATACCAACAGTTTTTGGCAAACCTGCACCCTGAGTTGAGCAATCATGCAGAATAAGAGCGATCATGCAAAGAATGAGCGCACGACAGCATCAGTAGGTCTCATCAGCCAATCCAAGTCAAGTATCGTATCATATTATCAGAGAGTCTATATATATATATATATATATATATATATATATATAATTAGGTAGTATGGAGTTTATTCCATTTCTAGCAACCAACCATGGAGTAATATCAGACTGGCCTAATAATCGTACAGTAATGTTTTTTTTAAATAAATGGATGATGAGATGTAACCCCCAACTCCTCCCTCTATATACATGAAGAAACGAGGCCCATCGCAGCATCACATAATAATTAGATGACTGCCATGATGAGTTATTAATTATGGTAGTATAGGCTGCCGCTGCTCAGTTTGCTGCTTGCTACTACTGCAAGATGGATGGATGGGTGATTCATTTGCTATAGTGGCGTGATCCAGCATAGCCGTAAGGGTTCTTGCTTGCCCAGTTCCACAGATCTCTGCACATCTCCTCGATCCCATATTTTGCCCTGCAAGTTTTCATATTGTTTTCGTTAAGGATTGGGAGATGACATCGACCAGCACCAGCAGCATATAAACCACAACTAGCAAGCATACTTACTTCCATTTGAGCTCTTTCTCTGCCTTGGCAGTTGCGGCATAGACGATCTCTGCGTCTCTAGGTCTTTGCCCAGTAAGCACCAAAGGGATTTTCTGTACAGAATCAGCCAATCAGACAATCAGTTGGATGAACAAAACATCCATATGTTGGCGAACATATATGCATGCACTATGGTTCAAGTAAGCTACCTTGCCAGAAACCTTCTCGAATGCTGCCACCATTTCCAACACCAATGTCCCCTTTCCTGTCCCCAGGTTGTATACTTCACACCCTACATGCATTACAACCAACCAATAGATGAGCATCGCATCATTAGCCAGCTTTAGTTGATTGCTTGAATATACAACAGCTGAGTTGTCCATGAAGTTTAGAATCAACAATCGGTAATCAACCTAGGCTGTGTTTAGTTCGCGAAATGAAAATTTTTGGATGTCACGTTGGATGTTTCGGGGATGTCAGAAGGGGTTTTCGGATACTAATAAAAAAACTAATTACATAGCTCGTCTGGAAACTGCGAGATGAATTTATAAAGCCTAATTAATCCATCATTAGCACATGTTAGTTACTGTAGCACATATGATTAATCATGGACTAATTAGTCTTAAAACATTCGTCTCGCGATTTCCAACCAAACTGTGTAATTAGTTTTTTTCGTGTATATTTAATACTCTATGCATGTGCCACAAGATTCGATGTGATAATTTAGTGTGAAAATTTTTGGAAACTAAACCAGGCCCTAGTTTGTCGGATTCTTCATAGAGCTTCATCAGGGCTGCTATGTGGCCGTCAGCCAGGTCAACAACATGCAGCATGTTCGGGAGGCCGTATCGTATCGTGGATTATTTACTGCTGGTTGGTTTGGTGTGAGAGAAAAACACTGTTCTCGGCTGGAAATTTACGATCGTTTACGAGCAAGCGAACAGGCTGATGGATGTAATAACACACCTGGCAGTTTTTTTTAACACGAAAATATATATCAGTAATGAGCTGAGTTTCTAGACTACATAACAGAATGAACATGGACCGAACTATTCAAAAACCCTCCTTAAATCACATCATCCTCTGACCCTGCTCCTAATGTTCGCACTGAACACATATATTAGAACAACATATTATTAGATAATAGATAGATATGGTTCTGGATTGTTTCAGAAATATATCTTCTAGAACTTTTAGCTAGATAGATAGCACATCTCATGGAGGCAAAACTCAGCAGCTCAGATCAATTAGCAAACCAAGAGAGGAGCAACTATCTGGGATGGTTACCTGAGAAGGATAGTGATGGTCACCTAAGGATGCAAGGCGACAACTTCATGAGAGCTCGTGTGGTTCAATCAGTGGGAGGAGCAACAAGCAGCAGCGGTCAGAGGGCGAGGTTCTGATAAGTCGACCTTGTGCTGTTTCACAGGTTGAATGATTATATCCCCAATAAAGTTTAGTATTGACTCCTAACTACTCTTAGCTTTTGCGGCCAAACTTATGAGCCATGACCTAAACATGCAGGCTATGTTGCACATGATAACAAATAGCCTGTTCCCATGTGAACTGCACACACATCGAGAAGTTTTCACACACATGACCAAAAAGTACAGCCACACTCATGATAGTAATTTAGTATGTCTATCCATTTGTTTGATCAACCAAGATTCATCAAGGTCATTGCACGCAATTAGGATTTAGGACCATTAACGCCAAGGTTGGAAGAATGGAAGTAGTTAAATAATAGAGTTTGTAGGAAAAGAAAACATTCTTTAGAACAAAATGACTAAATGAGCAATTAATCCAAGTAAGATTGCGCGTCCCAACTGAAAAAAACAAGGAATCTATGCATCGATATCTACCCAGGTCAGGAATCTTAGAAGTCATCAAATCCAAGTTGACATGTTGGTCCCATTAGTAATATAATCCCGGTCCCAAGTTGAAATCACTAGAAAAGGCAGGATACCATGAAGGAAAGAGAGTCATAAACATAAGTATGAGAATCATAACCAAAAGTATGACAGAATAGAATACTTGTCAAAGTACCATGTCACTTTGAATGCTCAGATTTGCCCTAGTATCAACACAACATTTGTAGAAGCACCGTGTACTCCCTCCCTCTCTATATGACCTAAGTAGGAACGTTCAATCGAATATATACAACATACTACACCACCACATCAGCTGCAATAGCAACAATTAGTTGCAAACTGGATACTTGTTATGGTCAAACCCATCCTAGTGTGGTCAGGAAGCGGAGACAGTTGTCAATCTTTGCCTTCACTATCCCTTTGCAAAAAAGTCTGGATGCTCGTCAAAAGTTGGGTTGGAGAAGATATTTGCCCTGTTCGCTTGAACTTATGAAAACTCTAGTTTGGTTTTGGTGAATTGATGAAACCCTAAGTGCTAACCTAGATTATCAAGTGATCATGAGATATGTAGCACATTCCAAGTGGTGAAACAAATGAAGATCATGACATGATGATGGTGATGCCATGGTGATGATCAAGTGCTTGGACTTGAAAAGAAGAAAGAGAAAAATAAAAGGCTCAAGGCAAAGATATAAATGGTAGGAGCTATTTTGTTTTGGTGATCAAGACACCTAGTAAGTATGATCACATTTAGGATCGATGGCCGTACTATTAAGAGGGGTGAAACTCGTATCGAAATGCGATTATCAAAATATCCACTAGATGCTCTAACTCATTGTATATGCATTTAGGATCTAGTGGAGTGCTAATACCCTTGAAAACATTTGTGAAAATATGCTAACACATGTGCACAAGGTAATACACTTGGTGGTTGGCACATTTGAGCAAGGATAAGGAACTTCACCGGGGCTCTATACAAAAAAGACGGAGGTCACTGTAAATGACCGGACGCTGGTCTCGGTTGGGCCGACGCGTCCGGTCTGTGGCAGCAGAGGGCGCGCGGTTTTGGTCTCATCACCGGACGCTCAGGGCCTGAGTCCGGTTAGTCTGACGTATGATGACGTTGTGTGACCGAACGTTGCGTGTGTCCGGTCGAGCATGACCGGACATGTCCGGTCGTGATTTCTCGCTTCTGGATGCTTACTGGAAATGACCGAACGCTGAGGTCCAGCGTCCGGTCACTTCGCAGCAGCGCGTCCGGTCATCACTTGACTATTGAGATTGGGCGCTCAGTATTTAAAGAGAGGGGACATGTGGCGTGCATCGCACGACCAGACGCTGGGGTTCTGCGTCCGGTCGATATGACCGGAGCATCCGGTCACCTCGTGTTGTGCCCAGTGAAGGGGTACAACTGCTCTATTTCGTGGGGGCTTCTATTTAAGCCCCATGGCCGGCTCAAACTCACCCTCTTGGCCATTTGCATTGACATAGCAATCTTGTGAGCTTAGCCAAAGCCCTCACACTCATCTCCATCATAGATTTATCATCTTTGTGAGTCTAGGAGTGCATCCAAGTGCATTGCTTGAGTGTTTGCATCTAGAGGCACTTGGTTTTCGTGTTTCGCTGCGGGATTTACTTGTTACTCTTGGTGGTTGCCATCACCTAGACGGCTTAGAGCAGCGAGGATCGTCGAGCGAATGTTGGTGATTGTCTCCGGCTCGGATCGTGGTAATTGTGAGGGGTTCTTGACCTTTTTCCGACGGAGAGCCAAAAGGTACTCTAGTGAATTGCTCGTGGCTTGTGTGATCCTTATCTTGTGTTGGTTGTGCGGCACCCTATTGAGGGTTTGGGGTGTGATGCCAATTAGCGCGTGTACCTCCAAGTGAGTGAATCGCCACAACGAGGACTAGCTTGCCGGCAAGCAAGTGAACCTCGGTAAAAAATCATTGTGTCATCATTTGATTCTGAGGTGATCGGTCTTCACTGGTATTCATCCTTGTGATTGATTGGTTCATTCCTTGACACGACGGTATAACCATCTTGCTCACTCTCTTTATATTACCGCAAACTAGTTGTCAAGCTCTTTAGTGTAGCTAGTTGTGAGAGCTTGTTAGTTTGGTTAGTGTGGCTCTTTAGTTAGCTTTTGAGAGCGCACTAACTTAGTGTGGTGATATAGCTATTGTGTGGATAGAAACTATATAAACTAGAATTATGGTAGGTGGCTTGCATTTTTAGTAGGCTAGCGCAACACTTGCTTCGCCTCATAATTGTCTAACCGATTTGTTAAGTGTTGTTGTAGAAATTTTTATTAGGCTATTCACCCCCCCTCTAGCCATTAGGACCTTTCAAGTGGTATCAGAGCCGAGGTCACCGTGATTTGAGGCTTAACAACCTTCGGTGTAAAAATGGCTCAAATCAACAACACCAAGAAGCCACCCCAATTTGATGGCTCAACTTATTCCTATTGGAAAGCTAAGATGGCAACTTATATCAAGTCAATCAATAGGAATGTTTGGAAGGTGGTAGAGATAAAGATTGAGATTGAAGATGAAGAGGCTCCCACCGCCGTCGAAGAATTGCTACTCCAAAATAATGACATTGCTCTTAGTGTCATCCATGATGCTTTGGATGAGAGAACTTTTGAGCAAATCAAGAATATTGAGAGAGCTCATGAGGCATGGAAGAAATTGGAGGAATCATTTGAGGGCACTCAAGCCGTGAAGGGTGCAAAGACATACATTCTGAAAGAAAAGTTTGCAAGCTTTAAGATGAAGGAGGATGAGAGTGTACCGGAGATATTCCATAGGCTTCAAGTGCTTATCAATGATCTCAAAGCACTTGGAGAAGAGGTGAAGGATAAGGACTTCTCCCAAAAGTTTTTGAGATGTTTGCCTTCAAGATTTGGCACATTGGTCACCATTCTAGTGAGGAGTGGTTTGGACACCATGACACCAAACCAAGTGTTGAGAGATATAATGACTGATGATACATATAGAGATGATGATGAGAAGGAAGAAAAAAAAGAGAAGAAAGATGAGAAGAAGGATGAGAAGAAGAAGAGCATGTCATTCAAGGCCACATCATCCAAGGGCAAGGCAAAGCAAGATATATCAAGTGAAGATGATGGCTCATGGGATGATGATGATGATGATGATGATGAGAAGATGGCTCTCTTTATCAAGAAATTTGGCAAGTTCATGAAGAAGAAAGGGTACCATGCTAGAAGAAAGAAATCTTCATTCAAGAACAAGGAAGAGTCAAGAAGGTGTTTCAAATGTGGAAGCAAATATCATCTTGTTGCTCAATGTCCATACAGTAGCGACAATGATGATGACAACAAGAAGAACAAGGACAAAAAGGAAAAGAAAAAAAAAAAAGACAAGATGACCTTCAAGAAGAAGAAGGGTGGTTCATATGTGGTCACTTGGGATAGTGGTGCTTCCTCAAGTGATGAAAATGATAGTGATGATGACAAGACCACCAAGAAGAAGGCACTTGCAAGCATTGCAATC